GTACAGCGCAGGCACGTGGATTGAGCGTCCCCAATCCATATCACGACAAACTGGACAGGTCTTCGTTGGTCAGTGCCTTCCAGAATGTCCACTGCCCCCTGCAACGCTGCAACTGACATTTCCTCTTGGCAACAGAGGTCCACACACACACACATATATATATATATATATCTTGACGTTTGCATGAGGACATTCTGTAGCTTATACCTCCGTGAACATACATACGTACATACTTACTTACATACTTACATATGTACGTACATACATACATACATTCATACACACAGAAACGAAAGAACAAACAAACCTAACTACCGCCTGCCTGTCTGCCTGCCTGACTGCCTGCCTGACTGCCTGACTTACCTCTACCTACCAACCTACCTACTTGCCTACCTGCCTACCCACGGACCTACCTTGCAGATACATGATGCAGGGCCCCCCCCACCCCATGGTATCCCCCCCCGGCCCTCTGGGGCCGGTGGTGGTGCCCTTCGCATCCTGTAGTTTGGTTGTGGTGGTGGGCTCTGCACCCCCCTCAGCTGAGGCTTTGGTTGGTCTTGACGTGAGTCGACAGTCGGATCCATTTTTGACATCATGCTGATGAACATCATCATTGTGGTCGTCATCTTCATCATCAGTACCATCAACAGAACAGCTGCCACCATCACCATCGCCCCCTCATGATTGTAATACATGTCTGATGCGGGAAACTACTGCTGTGCAGATTGCCGCTTTCTGCACGGAGGGGGGGGGGGGAGTGCCGCACCCCCAATCCGCGCAGCAGCAGGGACAGGTCCGCGCACCAGCACGGGATTGGGAAAGACTGGTGGGGGGTGGGGCGTGGGGCGCCACAAGGGGGGTGGGGGGGGGGGGATACCCCGGGACCCGAGAGCATACATACCAAGTTCATACCTACTTGCATGCCTACATACGTGCATACATGCATGCATACACACAAATGCTTGATACTTGTACCAGCTGCCGAGGGGTTTCAAGCCTCAGCAACAAGCGCTTTGCACAGGGTTGCATCTACCAAGCTGCAACATTCGCGAAGGCATCAACAAACACTGCTCTCACGAAACCCTCTGCTGCCTGAAAGGACGATTCGATCTTGGAGTTCTTCCACCGTGCCTGCCTGACGGTGGTCACGCTGCTTGTGCAGACGAAGTCGCAGTCGCTGGAACTTTTTCTCGCAATGCAGGCACCCTGTCTTTGCTGACCTTCTCGCTACTGGTCGTAGCATGCCTCATAGGCCAAATCAACAGATCGAAGGGCCTGGCCGTTGACCTCAAAGATCTTGTCCTTACAGAGGCACGTCGAGGCGGCCAAGTTCCGCTTCGGGTGGCATGTAACAGCCGAAGCCTTTTGCAAAGTGTCGGACGTTTGCTGACCAAGTCTCGTAGGGTCTGACACTCCTCTCGGGATCGCTACGATTCCAGTCCGGCAACAGTCCATCGTCCAAGATGGCCTTGACCTGAGACACCACCAGCTTGCGAAGTTCAGGACTTTAGCACAAGCAGTACTGCTACCGCTACGATCAACCTCACTTCCGTCTTGCACAAAGCCTTCCACGTATCCGAGGGGCCATGAGTCCGCGATGGATGTCGGTAGTATCGAAGTCAGCTCCGAGCGTTCCTTGACAGGGTTGGAATCTTCAGGCGAAGCTGCCTCTAGTCGAGATCTCTTCCTGCTGCATTCACGAAGCCAACCATCAGCCAAGCGACTCTTGTCGTACTTCAAAGTCACCTATGCTGCGAGACCAGGAGCAGTCGCCAACAGAGCTCGGGGCTAAACCTCCCCACTCCCTGTCAATGCGAGGCTGAGGCTTGGGCCTTGAAGGTGGCTGCCTTCCGAAAGGCTGCAGGCATGCCCAATGCCTCATCAGCGGCCGGCCTGGGATCCGAGGCCACTTTCAGGCTGCGACGGACAACACTGCAAGCATCAGACCGTCATGCGACGTGTCACTCCCGCGCTGCAACAGCATTGATTCAAATCACTACCCCTGGAAGGAACAAGATGCATGCACACTTCGTGTCATACATCAAAGAATGCTACAATCGCCACGCCGCTCACGGCCGTCCAAAGACACCTGCGAGAAGCAGTACCAAAGTAACAAAATGCAGGTGCCCTTGATGGATAAGCTGCTTCAAGCTCGCGCGAGATAGTCGCAGGTTCTCTTGTGGCGTTGACACCGTATGTCCGTAGAACGAGCACCTGTAGCTCATCACGCTTGTCCGGCTCCGAGCAACAGTACATGGAAGCCTGCAGCGCTCGCACTCGCACTGACGCACTGCTCGCACCAGGGGTCACCTCCTCCCCCGTGCCTCTGGCGCGCTGCCAGGCTGCGAGCTTGAGCCAAGCTTGCAAGCAGAGCAGGGGTCCCCGGGATGCATTTTCCAGTGTGTCTTTGTGCGTGTGTGTGTGTGTGTGTATGTGCTTACACAGATCCTGAAACTGGAATGTCCCCACTTTCTTACGGCCGGCCTCGACGAAGTGCTCGGCGGTCGCGGAGTCCTGGTGCGAGGCAGTGGCCAAAGGGATGATGCGATACACGAACCAGTCACAACCACTTGAAACTGCTGACTGCAACAACACTCGAAATGTGCAACTGAGAACAAACCTTTGCTCTGCGAGGATGTTCTGATTTCCATCACTTCCATCACTTGCTGACTAGAGTGGAACGTTGATCCGCTGATGAATCGGCTTGGCATGTGCTAGCCTGTCTTGTGATGAACTCCTAACAGCCTGAAGGCAGGGTCCCTGAAATTGATGAAAGCATAGCCGACGCTGTTCTTGTTGCGCATGTCCTGAGTGGCCAGGAAAATCACGCCAGAGAGCATCACCCTACACTGAAGACTCAAGTCTTGCCAGGTCGCCATGGGAAGGTAGAAGAAATCGTAGCAGCCTTCAAAGCCCAGCCTGTAGTTACAACAGTGCATCGCTGCGTCGCTGTTACTCAGTCCAACGCTTGCTTCTGAGGCCCGAAGTTGCTCAACTAAGCGTGCAGCTGGTCGACTTCTTGCATCAAGGACCCTTGTGTGTACCTTGCAGAGTCCAGCCAGCACACGCAAATTAGAATAGTCAGCATTGCGCCATCATTAATAACTTATCAAACTGCGTCCGGCAATGACTTGCAGGCTGCAGATGGGCCTGCAGGGTATGTTCCGCAGCATGACTGTGGAAATAGGCCTCACAATCCGTTCAAATGAATAGTCGACCTTTCGCAGAAAAGTGCCATCTCATGCAAGCGCCCAAAAGCGTGAATAATCAAGCGTGCGGCTGATCTTTTGCAGGAGGCTCCGCAGAGAGGGCCAATGCCTCGCAGGAGATGTTGTTTACGACAGCGGACTGACATGCTGCTTGCAATTTGCACACAAAGTTGGATCTTCAGCCAAGCTGGCGTGAGTCAACATGTAAACGTTAAACATGTAAACTTCAATGTAAACAGCATGTGCAGCACAACAGGCGCCCGCGGAACTGCGCTGGCATGATGCGGCTCGAAGACATCCCTGCACGAATCACGGTGGCATCAATCCTAACCCGAGCAATTCTTAACTCACGACCACGGCTCGCGCTGCAACACAACATGGCAGATCTTTGACGGCAAGATGACTTCGAAACAACGAACAACGAACCACTGTGAAAGCTGACCCTGGTCTGCACCTGTCCCGCGAGCGACTGCGGTGTCGACGACGGCGCCTTCGTCTGCCTGCAGTGGTGTTACGCATCAAGTGCTTGTACTCATACGCGACCGACGAAAAAAAAAACACAACATGGAAACTATTTGTAATGGAATAAAACTTTCCAAATTGGGGCCTCGTGCGTTTTCGCAAGCTGCTGCTTCGGAAGTTATGCCGCACTCTGCGCCCTGCACCAGATCGTGGAAACTCACACGTGCCTGCAGTAAGCTACAACCTACAGCCTGAACTTCCTTCACTCCGACTTCTCCTTCGGACCCAGCCTCATCTGGCAACGCACCAGGATTTGCAAATGACATGCTTTGCGAAGATGGTTCAACCATATTACCGTGTATGCAGGCCGCTATGAACACACATTACCAACGGTGGTGCTGATTACAAACTTTTAAAACACAACACAACTCTCTTCGTCCATGCCCGAAGGCAAAATTAAGACAGGGAGCCTGTCTGGCACAATGCCTTCACTACATACATTTACCGTGCATGCTGGGCTAACTAAATATTCCCAATAACAACAAGTCGAGGTTTGTTCTTGTGAGCACCGTGGAAACGTGCAAGCAGCGAATTTCTCGTTTTGGTTGAAACCGAGAACATTGAATGTGCCGATGCCGAGAGGTGGGAAGGCAAAAACACGCCCCACAATTCAATGTCACACAACTCACACCTGTTGCTTTCACTGGGAATGTATTGCCTTCGGTGTACTCCTTCGCTCAACTTGAGAACTCTGGCACATTTATCCCGAGAAAGCAAGTACAAAAACTTGCAAGAGGTGAAGCACAAGAAGCAGTCCTTTCAGAGTTCCTAAGAAGACGATTCCTAGCAAATGAAGAGCGGGGAATCCTCGGCAGTCACTTCACTGCAAGGACCCAAGGTAACTTAGACACCAGGCACTAGGTCGCCAACGGCGCAGAAAGAACTCTTCGCCCCCACTTCTTGGCCGCCGCAGAGCGATGGGATTGGCAATGACTACTGTACTGCTGCATGCAACAGCAAAAACTTGTTTGTTCCCGCAAGAATGCTAGAAAGAAGTTCTCAGTCACCAAAAGGCTTCAAACCCCCCAAAACAGCAGACAATGCCAAACTAGACTTGAAAACCTGAAGCGAACAGCATTTAAGTCTCAAAAGCTCCAATATAAAATGACAACGTTGCTCGAAAGGGTGAAGAGACAGACAAAGCTTTTTTGCTTTTCAAAGACAGCACTCTGCTTGCAACCATTTGATAGCAGACACAACCCGTGTGGTTTGTTCGACGCCAACACTTGGACTTGTAACGTTGCTTTTAATGTGGCTTCAAGCACAAGGTGAGAGTTCATGTTGCCGGGCGTTGCGCGCGGTAAACTTAACCACTCAAAACGCCGCGTCGCTCCAGATGCCGGGCCCTCTTTTTCGCTGGCGAGCGGCGAGCGCACCCAAAGCCGCGCCACCGCCTTGATGGCGCACCTTTCCCAATGCTTTGACTTCGAGGCCAGATACTCACACCACTCCAAAAACTTTGCCTCTGAGTCCCAGGACCAAAACATGGTTTGCCTTGAGGTTGAGGCCAGACACTCAACAGCAGGCAGGTAGGCAGGCAGGAAGGCAGGTAGGAAGGCAGGAAGCGGGCTCGAAGGTCAAAGCACGTTTGCCATGTGGACTTTTTTGGCCAAACACTCGCCACAAAAGCTTTGCTGAAACTTTTAAGTGCACAACGCGTTTGGAAAACCTCGGATTCGTAGTTTCCAGTTCTGTCCAGTCGAAACCCACGATGCTCGTCTCTTTCCGTGATAGCTGGCTAACGTCCGAATCACTGTTTCTGCGTTCTTTTTGGAAGCCGGCACCTCTTAATGTGCTCTCAAACGGACGAGAGAGATGCGTCGACCGAGCAGCAAAGAGAAGAAGAAACGCTGATTTTGTACATTGCGGACAAATAACAGCCAAGCACCCACGAAAATTGGACAGCGGCACGAGGTAGAGTGTGGATCGAAGACGATAAGTTTTCTATGCTTGCGGAACACATATACTGAAAGGTGATCGCAAGCGTGGACTTGCTTTGATTTCGCTATCACTGGGCCTTCGCCCAGAAGCGGGCCTGTGGATAGCATAGACAATTAAAACAGCAAACTTACCAAGTCTTCTCCAATCTTGGAGAAAACTGCAAGGAAAAGCAAGCATAGAAAATCTGTTAAGAAGTCTATGTGGAAAATCATGGAACTGGAGCTTGCACAAGAAACCTGCAATCGGAAACCTAGAGACAATTCCAAAAGATAGGAACATAAAAAACATGAGAAACTTCAAGATAAAACCTCCAACAAGGAACCGTCTACAAACAAGAACTGAACAAGGTTCTTGCAGCACATGACAATTCAGCACGTTGAAGTGAAAATGCTTGTGGAGAATGCGAAAGAAAGAGGATGAGAAATGAAAGAAAAACTGCGATGATATCAACGCCAATGGCACATGCTACTGCGGCCAAAAGAAACCCTGTAGCACCGTGGAAACAAATCTCAGTTTCCGAACCAAAGTCGAAATCAAACAACCTGTAGAGCCAATAACATTATCCCAGAGAAGATTCTGGATAAGACAATGTCTAAAAACAGACTTGAACTGTGTGAACCAAGGCTTTGCTGGCAGCATAATGAATCGAGAACCACATTGGAAATGGGCTGTGGTCTTGCCTACAGAGCCCGAAGAAAGAACAGCTGTGGAATTGAGGATTCTTAGCTCTCTCTGACAAAGGTGTTGCCATCTCCCACTTTGTAGGAGCTAGAAGGCTTGTTTTCAAGACATAGGTCAGAATTCGGTACTTTGAGGACTCTTCGATTCTACAGGTTGGAGGCTCTAGGGCTTGGAATCTTAGGGCTCTAAACTCCTTGCAAAAAGGCGCGCGGCGCTTCGAAGCTGTTTGAGGGCGAAGCGAAGAGCTCGAAAGCCGTTTGGGAAGGAGGCGAAGGGCTTAGAAGCCGCTTAGGAAGGAGACGAGGCTCGGAAGCTGTTTGAAGCTGTTCGGGAAGGCGCTGCGGAAGCGAGACGTTGCGCTCGGAAGCTGTTTGGAGGCGAGGCGTTGCGAATTCGCAAGCTGTTCGGAGGCGCGCGC